GAGTTCGGTAATTTATAACCCGGCATTTTAAGACTAGTGGGTTGGACTGGCCCTAGAGATGTGTGAATGAATTAGTTGGGGTCCCGCTTAGTCGTACATGAGGGCGCTGGCTAGGCCCGGTCTCACTTGCGCAGGGATTCGCTAAAAGCGTGTGGCGTGTTCTCGTTGTGACCTTTTGTTTTGTTAACAACTTGGGGTATCCTTCCTATGTGAAAGGCTCTTCTGAGAGGCCAACTCCTAGCGATTTCATACAATGCTGACATGTCATGACCAGAGCAACTAAAGACTACTCGGTGTGGGATTTGCACTGGCCATCCAATATCCAAACCTATTATATGAATTTATTGTAATGTTTTAATGATTGTTTTTGTTATGTGTGTGAAATATTGATTCTTTAGGAATTCCAGTGGAGCCTGGGATTCGACTTTGTATTGATGTACTTGACAACATGCATTTATGCCATTACAGACGACTAATTTTGCTATAAAGTTCAATATTAATTTGTTGGCTGGGTTTTTTCTTGGTCAGTTATTTTTCCCAGCCTATTTTTATATTTGTACTCGGTGAACTACCATTTTCTAAATTTAATCCTGCAATGCAAATTATTTGGATTAAATCTCCGTTTTTAAAGCATGTACTTGTTTTATTTGTATTCCTTACTTGATCCTCACTCCGACAAACAACACATCTTGTAGCGACTCTTTAAAACACAACGTAATAAGTGGTCCTATTATTCGGTTATTCAAGTTAGGTAGCTTTATCTAGACGATCACGTGCCATGGGGTTCAGTTAGTTTGGGAGGGAAAGTTTTGAATTTAAATCTTGAGTTGCGCAGTCTCTCGGGACTGGCCTGGGTACATCACAGTGTCAATACGAAAACGTTTGGTTCCTAAGTCCGCATGTGGTCTCATTTCTGCTGGTAGCGTAGCAGGTGGTCACAGGATATTGCGTATCGTGCCCATTTTTGACCTTCAATGAGTGCATGTGGCACCCACCTCGACGCACGCATATTACGCACATGGAAGTCATTCCTTAAAATCGTATGGATAGTCCGATTTTCCATGCCTGTTTATGCCTGTAACTCAAGTAGTGTCTATCTTCTGTCAGATTCCATGCATTGGTCAATTAGTACACGCGACACATCATTCCACACTTACTGGTCGGCCTGAGAGAGTGAAGCCACCGCTTGTTTCCCGTCCTCTTCTGAAATTCGGCCCTCCGCCTCGCGACGGTTCTTTACGGAAGGGTCATGTTCCCCCCGATTTCTACGATCTCACTCTAGCAACCGCCGAGTTGTATCGAAAAATCAAGTTAAAAGTAGGCAACACACAATACACGTATAACATGTGTGGCATAGACTACAATTATTACATAGACTCGACGCAACAAGGCCGCCAATTGAATTCATACAGTGTGTTGTTTTACCCATCTATTGTCAATTGAATATACGGGAAAGATTACGTTTGTATTATTAACAACAAAATGTAGTATGTAACATTTTCCGCCTGATTAAAGGCAACACAATGTACACTTTCTTTAAGTGTATACCATATCTTTTTATACCGGGCGAATATTAAGAAACCGAACATAGGCAATTAACATGATTGTTGCTCCCCATGTTAACTTAGAGGGTTTATAATAACACCAATCGAAAGATTTTTTTCCCATCTAATATACGACTTAGTTTATTTTCAGGTGTATTTCGCATTATTTTATCAAAAATTCGACAATAAATCCAATTACCAAAATTATGGAAATTTCCTAAAGAATTTAAATAGGTTTTGTAACGGACGCCCATTAAAATGCACGGAAAGCAAATATCGCGTACTAGAGTATCTATTTCCGCTGTAAACGTTGTTTATTATTATAAATACTTTGCCCTGAGCGAAATACATTTTACAAACAAATTAATGGCAGTTGTCATAAACTGATTTCGAATTGAATAACGTTTGAATCTGATTTTTTTCTTCCTAGCCATGGTGATTGGGTTTATTGCCGAATTTTTGATAAAATAATGAGAAATAGAGAACTATGTTGTCAATTAGCAGATTCCAAACAAAAATGCAAGTAGAATTGGTAGATATCGAGGGCTTTTTAATTCAAAGTTTAAGGAGATGTCAGTTCAATTTCTAGAATATTTTTATATTGTCAATAAGATTACAAGTCAACAACAACTTCTATACAACCAACACAGTTTTTTTTTTACAAGGCTAGCTATCATGAGGCCTAGTAGCGCGCTTCGCTGCGACTATCTGTGTGCATTTCACCAAGTGATCTCTCACACTTGGCCCTTGAAAATGCTTAAGACCTATTTTGGTGTTTTTCAAAACTGGCAAATCCGCATGGCGGGTTCGGCAGACTCTCAAACACAGCCACCGAGTCGATCCTCTTTGTCATTAATGTCCGCTAGCTGATTCTCAGTTGGCGACATGCTGCAACATCTAAATCGCCCTTCAGCTAACCAAATCTCGGAATCCCAGAAAGAATTCTTACTTCAATGTGCCTCGTTCGCCTATTAATCGCTCACTTTGAATTAGATTCATACAGCCGATATGTGTCGATTTTCAGACTTGGCTTTCGTCATCTCATCTTCTCGTTTTTGCGTGTCATCCAATAAATTTTCTGTAACCACAACGACGATCCTTCGCCAGTCTCCGCCTGCCAGCAGATTAGTTTCAGGCCTCGTGCGTAGATTGCGGCTAGCGCACTGTTGTTTCGTACTTGCCGGTGACCGCTATTGCGCTCTGCAATAAACACAACTAACGACAACCTGAAGTTGACTTTCGGCTCAGCCTGATCTGCCTGCCTATAGTCCGCATCTGAATAGCGGCACCAGCTCGTGCCTTCGCCCCGCCTTATCAAGGCAGACCCAAATCAAAGCCTTTCCCTCCGCACGTACTTCATTATTTGTATACAACATCTCGCCAAATGCTGCTTTTGGTCGGATCAGCCACCTTCTTTGGCAGGCTTGATTTACGACATATGCAAGAATCTGGTCGAGTATAGACAGGCGGCAACCATCAGTTTTTGCCAACCCCGTCTGGGTAGCTGTTTCTTCCATTTCCTCCTCCAGACGTGGTGTTTTTGCCTGTTCTCGATGATTTGCCCCAAGGTAGTCTCACGGAGTTGCAAGCTTCTACATCTGGAAATCTTGCAGCAACGCTCCAAGGTACGCAGACTGGTGGATGAAATACCGGCAGCCATCGCACCGCGCTTAACTGCAACTCCAGCATAACTTTTGACATACCAGTGGTTAACTGAAAACGTGCAGTTTTCAGTGCTGCAAGGCACCTCCTCAATTTTCGCATTGCTCTCTTCAGAATAAGACGCGTCATAAACGTAATACATCAGCAGGGCAATGTCTATTCATCTTCTCGAATAATAAAGACCTGGATCAGGCTTGGCTTACGCTTTTGAATCTTATCTCAGTCAACTTTTGATGGATCTTCACGTTCCAGCACCCTTGAGCTTGCTTCAGACCATATAGACTCTTTTTAGACGCCCAGACTCGACCGCTTTCTGTCATCGAAACGCTTCAGGCTGAACGGCATGTAACCTCCTCAATGAAGATCACCGTTCAGAAAAGCTGTCTTTACATCAAATTGGCTGTAATTTTCATATTATAAGCTGGCAGAGATGCCATCTGCATTAAACGAACGGAAAGTGTGCTGCCTTGGCCACTGGAGAAAAAGTCTCAACACCAAACTCTGAC